AAACCTGAGCCAGCCCTAACTATAAACCTGAGCCAGCCCTAACTATAGACCTGTATCCGTTCATACATCCATGTTGTGTGTTTCAGGTCTACAGGTACCTGCCTGGCTTTGATTGGTTCTTCCTGGACGCCATCACAGCCAACAACATCTGCTTCACCAGCGATGAGAAGTACGCGACTTTCCTTTTTGTTTACAGCTGAGCTTAACTTCTGTTCATTGATTCTGGAGCGTAACAGAAATACAGCAAAGAAAACAACAATTGTGCAGAGAAAAACACAAGTAAAGAGAACATTGGCAGTAATATGAAATTTGATGCATCATTTACAACTTGTCCGCTCCCTCTGTTGACATTATGAATCACATGTTTCTATAGATGTTCTACGTTTCCTAAATCCTTCAGCCAAATATCAAACGTTGGGAGCTCTGTCAGTGCTGCAGCTTCAGACCAAACCTTCACTCGACCACCACAGACCAGTTAGGAGAGGAACTTCTTACCGACATCACATCAAAGAAAAGAGAACAATAAACTGTCGTAAAAAAGTCACAAAATAATTTATTCAATTTAACAAACTAATAACTTTTAATATATAAAATGAAATATATATATATATATATATATATATATATATATAAAATTATTACTTTTCAGTAACTTGGGTTTCAGTTAACTTTTTAAAGGAACTCAAAACTTTATTTTCTTTCGATCACAGGAAGTCATTCAGGATCTCTTCTGACTTTGAGTCAGATTTAAAGGAACACTCCGTCACCAGTATGTGTGTGATGTAGATATATCAGTAATAAAAGTCATTATCGGGTCAATGTAACATTAACAAAGTACATATAACTCTGCAGTCCCCCTACTGGTAATATATGGTATTACGTAACGCAGCAGTAATGTCCGATTGTCCCTGAATGCATCGTTGAGCGTGTCTTCGTCTCTTCAGTGTGAACCACATCTCGTGTCCCGTGCTCATCCTCCACGCCGAGGACGACGCTGTCGTTCCTTTTCATCTCGGAAAAAAGGTTCAGAGACGTTTTCTATCATCGGTTCATTTCATTTGTTCAAAGAGGTCAATAATAACATATAATAACCTTCCTCCTCCTGCAGCTGTACAACATGGCGTCTCAGTCAAAGAGCCTCAGCGGTCACAAGGTTCACTTTGTTCCTTTCCCCTCGGCTCTGGCTTACAGGCACAAGTTCATCTACAGGAGCCCGGAGCTGCCAAACATCCTCAGGTACCAGCGACACAGAACGCTGTCGTTCAGGGCAGGAAATGAAAAGTACGACGTAAGAACTCTACATTCTATAGTGTGAAGCTACACTACGTCAAAGCTCTACGTTCTATAGTGTGAAGCTACACTACGTCAAAGCTCTACGTTCTATAGTGTGACGCTACACTACGTCAAAGCTCTACGTTCTATAGTCTGAAGCTACACTACGTCAAAGCTCTACGTTCTATAGTCTGAAGCTACACTACGTCAAAGCTCTACGTTCTATAGT